TCCCTCCCCTCCCCTCCCCTCCCCTCCCCTCCCCCTCCCCTCCCTCCCTCCCTCCCCTCCCCTCCTTCCCAACTCCTTCTCCTCCCCTCCCCTCCTCGTTCCCTCACCCCTCGTCCTTCCCATTCCCCTCCCACATTGCCCTTCCTCTCTCGTTCCCGCCCGTCCCTCCGCCTTTCCATGCTCCCTCCCATCCTGCTCTTCCCTTGACATTTTCCTCTCCAACTCACTTGTATTCAGGGAGATTTTGTCTTCGCAATCCACAAGAGGAGATTTTCTTCCTCCTGCATCAAGACTCGCCGACTTTTTTCCCTCAGCATCCCAGCACGCAACATGGAGGACGTCGTGCTTGCCGTGGGTAAGGTGACGGGCAAGCGACAGGACAAGTTTGCAGGATCCATCCCAAAGCTGCTGCCGGTCGAGCTCGGCTCCGACAAGAGCTCGAGGAGCAAGGGGAAGGAGGAAGCTGGCGGGAAGGAGAACCCGTTCCATGCCCTTGAGGAGGAAGAGGAGAAGGCAGGAGACGGCGGTGAGCTGACTGATGGAGATATTCTCGTGCCCTGAAAGACTTTTTCTCCTCAACTAGGTGCGGGCAAGGAGGAGGAGGAGGAGGAGGAGGAGGAGGAGGACAGGTGCTTCAACAAGGAGTTTGCCATCCAGGGATGTGTGGCGCATGTCGAGTGCAAGGCAGGAGGAGGCGCGAGGGAGAGAGAGGACATTTTTATGACTGCCCTTCAGGTGCTGGACATCTCCGACGCTGATGACAAGCATCATCTTGTCAAAGCCTCCATCCTGAGGTCTTCTCCTCTCCCCCTCCCTCCTTTTTCCATGCTGCCTGCTACCTGCCTGCCTGCTTCCTCGTTCCTCGTTCCTCCTGCCTCCTCTCTCTCCTTCACTGCTTATGCTTGCTCCACCTCTAATTCTGCGAGCAGAGCTTGGGTTCATCCTCAATACTGGAACGAGAAACATTTCACTCCCACAGGTCCTGCCTTGCACAACTCTGCTGCTTCAGCTCCTCCTCCTCCTCCTCCTCCTCCTCCTCCTCCTCCTCCCTCCCTCCCTCCCTCCCTGTCCTTCCCCTGCTCATCCTGCTCCCCTTCCTGACGCTGTTGCCTCCCTTGCTGCCTTTTCTTCTTTCCTCGCGCTGAGCTTCACTGCAGACGACAAGCTCCCCCCCCTCCTCTCCTTCCTCGGAGCATCGAGATTCGCCAGCGTCAGATGAAGTCTCAGACTTGTTTTTGCGATGCTGATAAAGGAGAGATACTAGACTCGAGCACGCGATCGAGATGAGGAGCTGAGTGACTGAGGGCGTCTCAGGGGGGAGGAGGAGGGAGGAGGAGGAGGAGGAGGATGGCCTGGAGCAGAGGAAGAGACGTGGCGAGGAGTAGATCTCGCGGTCGGACGAGGAGTCACATCCTGTGAGGTTTGTGAGGACAAAAATGAAAAAGGAGGAGGGAGCGAGCCAGCAAGGGAGGGAGGAAGCGAGCGAGCGAGGGAAAGGAGGAGGAGCGAGCGAGCAAGTGGAGGAGGAGGAGCGAGCCAGCAAGGGAGGGAGGAAGCGAGCGAGCGAGGGAGAGGAGGAGGAGCGAGCCAGCAAGGGAGGGAGGAAGCGAGCGAGGGAGAGGAGGAGGAGGAAGGAGCATGGGCAAGTTCACCCTGTGAGAAGGAGAAGTCTCTTCTCCGAAGTAGAGAGGAAGAACTCCCAGTCCTTCGTAGCTCTTGGTGGCGGCGGCAGGACGAGAGGAGGAGAAGCGAGGAGTGGCAGGCTGAACTGAAGGGGGTGGGGTAGCAGAGGAGGCACGACCCCTCCCATAAGGGGTTCGGAGGGGGGTAGACCTTAGACTTACTTCCTCGTCCTTCTTGTCTCTCGCTGCTAGGTCTGGAAGTGAGTCCAGCCTGTTGCGTGTACTCAGCGACGTCTCCCCCTCTCCCTCCCCCTCTCCCTCCCCCTCCCCCTCTCCCTCTCCCTCTCCCTCTCCGTCGCCTCACCCTCGTCCTCTACTCTCCCTTCCCCCCGCTCCTTCTGCTCCGACTCCTTCTCCTCTTCCTGATGCAACTCCTGGTCTGCGCTGCCAAAGTTCCTCCTCCATCCTTGTCTGCTCTACCTGATCGTCATGCCGTCGGGCACTGACGAGGGCGCGGGCACAGGAGACTGCTGCTCGAGCTGCAGCTGAACGCTGTCTGTCATCAGGCCAGGACGAGGGACCTTCTGCTCTGGCACAGCTGCTGCCCCGAAACTGACGGTGGAGTAGACGGTCAGCACGGGGCAGGGGAGGGAGGAGGGAGCGAAGAGAGAGGCTCGGGGAACGAGGGAAGGAAGTAGCATGACGGTAGGAGGGAAGAGTTGGGAAGTCGCTTAGAGGGAGGGGGGGAGGAGAACGGGACCTTTCATAGTTGTATCCCCCAGCTGCTAACGAGCTCTTCATCCTGCTCAGCTCTCGCCGGCGGGCTGGCAGCTGTTCGGCATGGACGGGGGAGTAGCCGTACCTTCCCCTCAGCTGGGAGAAGAGCTGAGGATCGTCACCCCTGACCAGCTGCTGGAGTCGGAGAGAGTCCTGCTGCATCCTGTTGACCTCGTAGAGGGAGCGGAAGCCCTTGGGGATGGAAAACTTGGCACGAGCTCCGTCCCATTCCTCCTTGGCTGTCTGAGCATCTCCAACGGCCTGCAGGTTGAGCAGCTCGTCGTCTTGCACCCAGTCCATGCTGGCAGGGATGAACCAGAAGATAGCGGAGAGGAGGAGGAAGCTGACGACGTCGGAGAGCAGGTCGCGGAGGATGTGGAGGACGACGGAGTTCGTGTAGAAGAGGATGCAAGAGAGAGCAACGTGGAGGAAGGAGAGGAAGAGAGGGAGGAGGACGAGACGAACGTCCTGGTGTTTCGTCAGCAAGAGCGAAGAGGCGGCAAGGCGAGAGAGGGAGATTGGAGGACAGAGGAGGAGAGAAGCTGAAGATATTTACACTAGGATGGTGATGCAGGAAGAGAAAGGGGAGGAAGGAGGGTGCTGTAGAGACAACAAGGCGAGGAGGAGATTTCAACCTGAAAAGTTTTGTAGAACCTGACGGAAAGAATAGCCGAGAACGGCAGCTGAGGGAGATAAACAGCAAGACGAAAGCTCTCCCCGTTGGCATAGAAGATCGGGACTGAGAGGACGAGGAGGAAGAGGAAGAAGTCCGTCAAGTAGACCTTCAGGCCGATCGCCATCAGGAAGAGGGAGAGAGCGCGGAGGGAGTAGTAGAGCCCGTTGAGGGGATGGTTGGCGAGGACAAACTGCCAGCGCAGGACAAACTTGAGGAAGAGCATCTCGAAGAAGGAGGAGAGGGAGAGGCACAAGAGGGAGAGCTGGAAGAGCTTCGGGGAGAACATGAGTTGCTTGTAGCTTCCTTCCCTCTCACGGCAGATCCAGATTGTGAGGACGGCGAGGATGGCAACGAGGAGGTCGACGAGCAGGAGAGGAACAGTCCAGTTGTGCTCGGGCTCAAGGATGCGAGCAACTCGCCCTGTGGGGTCGATAGAAGTGCTGGATCTTGATCCGAACGTGGCAGTTGCCAGGTCCCCCACACACATGAAGAACATGATCATGACCTGCAGGGCGGCAAGGAGAGGATACAGCATCTTCGTCTTTCTGACCTCCTTTCTCATGGCCGTCCTCCACCTTCCAAGGCCCTCCAGCCATGCACGGGCGGTCTGACGGCGAGAGGAGGCGAGCGGAGGAGGTTTGAGAGCTGCTGCTGCTGTAGACGAGGATGCATCGAGCGAGTTGGTGACGTGGCCCTGCTCTGCTGCCTTTCTCCTCTCCTCCTCATACTTCTCCCTTGCCGCTCTGAGCTCCTTCCTCGCTTTCTCGTCATGCACCCGAGCACAGAACTCATCCTCCGCATCCCACACGCCATGCCTCACAATGAGCCTCATCGCCTCCTCGTGCTGCTCCGCTGCAAGCAGAACGCCGATCGCCTTCCTCACCCTCCCCAGCTCCACAAGTCGTCCGCACAGCTCCCTGACTACCTCCTCCCTCCTCTCAGGCACAAACTTCACAGCGATCATGGCGCCGCCTTCCCAAAGTCTCTCCAGATACTCCGCGTCCTGCACAACGAAGCAGATCATTGAGGCAGCAAGGAAGAGGAAGAGGAAGAGGAAGAGGAAGAGGAAGAGGAAGAGGAAGAGGACAAGGACAAGGACGAGGAAGAGGAGGGCGAAGGCGACGGAGGAGGAGGCTGTGGAAGAAGGGGCAGAGGAGGAGGAGACGGCCGAAAGGGGGGTGGAGGAGGGGAAGGAGCTCAGGGTAGCAAAATCACCCTATCAGGGGTAGAGTAAGTCGAGAGACAGACGTCGATGGTCCTCATGTGCTCTTCAAGCTCATTCAATTCCTTCTTAGCTGCAAGCAATCAAATCGTCATGGTGGCTCAGCAGCAGGAGGAGGAGCCAGGGAAGTAGAAAGAGAGGGGAGGCAACCATCCGGAGCAAGGTAGAGGTAGAAGCACCATGAGATAAAAAGCGAAGCTGAGAAGCGAAGGACAAGAGCAGCAGCAGCAGCAGCAGCAGCAGCAGCAGCAGCAGCAGCAGCAGCAGCAGCAGCAGCAGCAGCAGCAGCAGCAGCAGCAGCAGCAGCAGCAGCAGCAGCAGCATGAGTTGGGGACATTACAGTCTTCACCATTAGATTCCCCCTTGACTTCAATGATTTCGCATTCCTCGAGGGCAATGCTCGGCTCCTCAGCCTGCATCTCCTCCCTCCTCTCCTCTACCTCTCCTCGCTCTCGACCTTCCTCCGTCACAGCTCTCCCCGCCTCCGCTCCATCCCCCTCCTCCTCCTTCGTCAGAAGATCTTGTAGCTTGCTCTGCCAACAGTCAACAAACCTTGAAATCCACCTCTCCTCTCCTCGTCCTCTTCCTCACCCTGTTCGATCTCTTCAGCGCGGGATCGAACCCAAGGACCGGCAAGGTCTCCTGGCGGAACACGGGCTCCGACACCATCATCTGCTGCGCTTTCACTTCGTCCTGCCACTCGCAAGGTCAAAGGGCTGGCAGCAGTCAGATGTCAAAGTTACCCGGAGCGACTCCTCCAGCTGCCTCCTAGCTGTCGACGGGCGGACTGACACTCTGCTCTCCTTCAGCTCGGAGGTCAACATGGTGGGAAGGGAGGGAAAGGATAGTACCTGCCCGTTGCTCGCCGCTCTTGACAAGTATGACGATGACGTTTGCTCAGTCACAGGTGAGGTATGAGCAGCTGTCAAACGGTCAAGACGTAGAAAAGTTGGACAGAAGTCTGCTGACGTTCAGATGCGACTTCTGTATATACATCAACCCCGTCGTTGCTGGCTTGCTCGGCCTTCAAGTGAGGAGAAACAGGAACATCGGGATCAGTCTCTTCTTCCTCTCTCTTCACCATGAGGCCTCTCAGCATCTCTACCAACAACGCTGAGTTCTCGTTCGACTCCAAACTCAAAATCTCCTCATTCACGCTCCTCAGCCGCTCGTTCTCGCTCCTGTGCTTTGCCACCCATTCTTTCGCACTGACTTTCCCCAGTCGCTTCGTCTCCTTGCCTGCCAACTTTGAAGCCTCCTCCCACTGACCAAGGACCCCCAGGATTTGACAGGCAGCGAGATGAAAATTCCCACGGGTGAACGTGTTGACAGCTTTCTGATAGTTTCCTGACTCAACGAAGGTACTTGACTGCATCACAAAAACTTTGAGGAGCATCTTTGGAACGGATCTCATGGAGATTTCGATACCCACAGCCCAGGATTTCCTCGAGATAGCAAAGAGAACGGCATCTTCCGGCCCGACGAAAGTTTCAACCATCCTCACGGCCTTGTCTGCGTCCATCTCGTTGCTGGCAACCTTGAGAACAAACTGCTTCACCATCTCCTCCCTCTCCTGCTTATCTTGCAAGTGTTGTTGCATCAGCCGGATAGCCTCGTGCAGGTTCCCTTGCTTGATCCACATATCCCTTGCCCTCAACCATCCGTCATCGACCGAGAGGTACAGTCTCTCTGCCTTCTCAAACTCCTTCGCCTTCTCTGCATTGAGAGCCAAGTCCAGCGTCTCCCCTAGGGCTGCTGCTTCTTGCTTACTTGAAGTCTTGGAATGTCGACTGACGACTTGTGCCGACTCATGTCGATTGCTTGTGCCCCCATCGTCGTTCCTCACCGACTGAGCTGATTCCGAAGTATCTTCATGAGCCGTTGGACTGCCTGACTGATGGGAACGTCGTTCCTGTTTATCATCAGTGTCGGTCCCCACTTGCCTTGTCTGAACGGACTCCCACCACTTCCCCTTCATAAATCAAGTTTAGGTTCTGAAGCTTGCAAGAGACAAAACAAGCAAGTGCACCTTTGAAACTTTCTGCACCTCTTCCTCCTTCTGCCCAGCCATGACCTCACTTCCTGCTATCTCCTGCTGAACGGACTCATGCTTGTCTTCCTGTTTATGATTGCACATGTCACAGATCATGATCATCACTCTCAGATTACATGATATAACACCTCTTCTTGCAACTTCACCGCAGTTTCCTGTGAACAATTTTTGAAGTCAACATCTGACTGCCGACCCATCCCTCTTCAGTTGCATGACTTCACCATGGTGCGGCTCGCGGCTGCCCTTACGAGATTTGCAAGATCCATCTCTTCCTTCCGTTCTTTCATCTACAGCCATCACTTCACGTGCCAAACTCAAACGGAAGTATTTCAAACCTGCTTCTGAAAAGCTAGCCTTCGCCTTTGGCTGGAATCTGGCTCGGCCAAGAGCTGTTTCTCTGCCTCCTCTGCTTCCTCTCTCGTTCGCACGTACTCCTTCGGGGCAGAGGAAGTTGAAACCTTCGCTGCTGCTTGCTCGTGAACCCCGCGGTCTTCACTTGCCCTGTTTCAACATGAATGGAGGAGCAGAGAGCGGACTGATTCAACCCTGGTACCGAAGAACCAAGAGCCGGCATCGGGGCTCCTCCCTCGCTGACCTGCTATGAGGGATCTTGTGACCTCGCTACTGAGACTTCCAGCAAGTCATCAGACCTCGGGCTTCGACCACCTCGTCTCATTGGTGGCCTTGTTGTGCCAGTATGGTTTCCCGGTCGATCGCGATATGTACACCTGATGCGCCTCGTCGATCTTAAGCTGAACGTGCAGGGCCTTACCTTCCATCCTGGAGGGAGCTGCTCTTGCCGCAGCTGCGCAAGAAGCTTGTTGTCTTCTTCCTGCGACCGAACGCTCTGTGCTGCATACCCTGTCGCTGTGACGCTCGCTGCAGAACTGATAGACCGGGAGGTAGACGGAGCAGGAGAAGGCGGTACGACAGACCGGGAGGTAGACGGAGCAGGAGAAGGCGGTACGACAGACCGGAAGGTGGAGGTAGAAGGAGCAGGAGAAGGGGGTACGACAGACCGGGAGGTAGACGGAGCAGGAGAAGGCGGTACAACAGACCGAGAGGTAGACGGAGCAGGAGAAGGGGGTACGACAGACCGGGAGGTAGACGGAGCAGGAGAAGGCGGTACGACAGACCGGGAGGTAGACAGAGCGCTGGCACGGCTACTTCTTCCTCTACCTCGTCCTCGTCCTGCCGCATCCCCAGGGGGAGGCGGGGGATGAGCTGGTGGATGCGGCACTACTGGGCGGGACGCCATGGGAGCTTACGCACATCAACAAGCATTACAAACTATGAAAGTTTGACAGGTAGGGGTTGGCCCAACTCCCCTAATTAAGGACGGGCCAGCCCCTCACAGGTACGGAGGGTGTGGGGGTGGGGTGGGGTGGGGTGATAGTACCCTCCATTTTCCAAACATAAAAGGGATGTGGAGGGTAGGGTAATTGAGGAGGAGGGGTGAGAGGAAAGGTGCTAATAGAGGGTGGAAGTTTGTGCAGACATGCAAGAGCCGCTTCGGGTGACGTTGCCGGGGGCGATGGATGCGAGAAGATGAGAAGGGAGGAGAGGGATACGAGATGAGAATGCTCTGATGTAACATGTTCGATCTTGTTCGATCTTGAGGATGCTCTGATGTAACATGTTCGATCTTGTTCGATCTTGAGGATGCCCTGATGTAACATGTTCAATCTCTCAGAACATGCTCTTTCATGATACCCCGGTCCAGCTCACCATACTGTGTCACATTGAAGTCCATTCGAATAGAATTGCAAATCCAATGAGAAGATTAGAATCACTTGCTCCATGTGTTCTCATAGCCCTTTCCCGGATTCACAGTCATTTGATAATATCATGGAGGAAGCATGATACGGTCACTAAAGCCCTTCTTTGCAGTTTGTTTTCAGCACGATTATATTTCGCAGGGGAAGCAATGAACAGAGAAATTAAGCTGGTTCTGTTGTTGTTGTTGTTTTCCACCATTCATCTTACCTGTTTCTGAAGGTATTTGTCGACGTGTATCGGTGGGCAAGGTATTGCATCCCCTTCAACTGTCATGTCTTGACCGTGGTCGGGTAGATCGAACAATTACGAGCCGACGGAACCTGAGGTTCATATGCTACGTGATGCAACTTCAAGTATCCGGACGTTTGCCATGGCTGGCATATTTGGCTCCGGCGCTCTTGCTTTTGCAGCTATCCAGAGGAATCTGCCAAAAATTGCGAGGGTGAGTGCGACGTTGCTGAGTTGGTGCAAGAAACTCAACCGATCTTTGCCTCCGAGTGAGCTGATTGAAGTGCAGTGGCAAAAGGCAACCTGGATAGTATCCGTTGGTGCCCTGGGGGGTTATGCTGGAATTCACTTTGCAGGGCCGAGTAAGTCCATATCTTATCTAGGACAAGAAAAGGAGATCCTAAGATATCGAACCAGACTGTCTCAAGAAACTCGTACTGCTGCCAGATTCGAAGCTGGCAGACGAAGCTCGTCGCATGTAATGGGAACTCATCCTCAAGGGGGCTTTTGTGCTGACTGCTTGGATTAGTGTGTTGGAAAGGAGGTCGTCGATCCCGAATGCGGAGAGTTTGATAAGGAACTTCCCGATCCGCAAGTTCGAGGAGGATATCGGTCTCTTGTGCATCTTTTGGACTCTGTGTAGTTTCTAACAGAGCATTTTTCAGAGGAGCCCAGGAAGTTTTCGTCGTTTGCGCCTGACGGATCATTGGCTGAAGGTAAACCTAGCACCGCTGATGAGGATTCCAAGCCGGCAGAAACGTCGAAGGCACATAACAGGTTATCATGCAAATGGTATCGTTGACGATTCCTAATTACTTGTGCAACCAGGATGCATGCAAGGCATTCCGAGAGACAAAACCGATGGACTGAAGATTTTCATCGCAATCCACATCCTCGCCATGGCCAAACTAAACCCGATGCCTCCAATGCGACACCAGAGCAACAACAGAAATTTCGTCCGGATCAGTTCGACCCGTACCAGGGAGTAACCCAGGAGGCGAAGGAGTCAGCATGGTTCGACCAGGATGGGAGCAAAACCTCTCAGAAGACAAACCAATACGGAGATCCAGTCTGAGCAAGCTGACACAAAAAAAAGAAACGAGCGGAAGCTTGCTATGTCAGTACATAGCTGTGGATAAACAAATCTCTTGCTCCAGCCAGCTTCAAAAAAGCTGTAAAACTAGCACGCGATTCTCTTAAGCGGCCTTCCCTCCCCCTTGCGACGAGTGCCTCCCATGATTCCCCGGGGTAGTCATGGTGCTGCTACTCAACTAGACTACACTCTTGTATGATCCGGCGGAGGTGCTGTAAGCTTTTTCGCGCTCGTGTCTTGCGATCCTCCTTTATCATCTATCGTCCGACTCCCCGCCTCCCTCCTCCTCCCAGCGAAGGCGCTGGAGGCCCTGGATGTAGGCGATGGCAGCGTGGAGGCGGGCGAGCTGGAGGGGCTTGGAAGAAGACTCATCAGGCGAGACTGAGCTCTTCTGATCAATCGTCATCGGACGTTAAAATTCACCAGCTGATCTCCGCATTTTCAGCTCCAGCAATTCCTAAATGTCGCCTGCTGTATGTGCTTCCCAGTTTGAAGGGTTCAATGTCGAATGTAAGCTTCATCCATGTTGGCAATAGGAACACTAGGACCAATCTAAATGTCCACTTGCTTTTCGAAGAGATGCAAAAGTAACAAGTATGTAGGCACAAACTGTACATCTAGCACTCGACAGAAAGTGACCTGCTATTTGTGTTCAGACCGTTTTTCAGATGCTCCGCATCTCATAAAGCTTCTGGTTGGTCTACGGCTTTGAGTTGATCCCCATCCACTAGTATCGCGGTTGGTTGTTCCCCATCTAGGTATACAGGTTCTAGCGATCGGAGTCGACTGCATCATCCACTGGCGCCCCTGCTGTCTCGAGTCCGACCAAAAAGTCCACCTGCTTGCCCAGCTCTTGAGCCACGCTGTCTCGAAAAACTCTCGTATGCATCATAACACTTTGTGCAACAACCGATTAAGACAAACAAGAACTTGAGGCCGATCAGAATCCAAACAACTATCATCATTCCATGCATGGTAGACAACGACGGTGACTGAAGAAAGAGGGGAAGCACTTGAACTGAAACAACAGCTTCAGAATTTTTTTAGTATGAGTTGTACTACCTACAAATCTCATTCTAAAAGGGTACCGTGTATACTTGTAAATACAGCTTGACAGCTTGCTGAATCCGGTCTAGGATTCGAAGGTGGGGCCTGTTGGCTCCTTCAGGCTGCTGCCTTGGTGCTGGGTCGACACCGACGGGAAGCTGCTACCTTGCTGGGTTCGCAATCAGGCGAGGGGGAGGAGGAGGCAGGGAGGCAGATGGTGCATGAGAAAGGAGGATCACGAGACACGAGCGTGAGAGTGGATCACGCGAGACCAGGTCGTGAGACGCAACCATGAAGCCGAGGGTAGTGCGGAGGCGGCTGTGGCCGTTGACTTGCACGTGTAAAGGACGATCTCAGGCCTCTTAGCGAGTACACGCGCACAGGTGTCAAACACACAAAGCGCTCTAAGAGCTACTTGCACTCTTCACGGCAACCCTCAGGCAGTCTGCTCTCTCCTTGCGACGAGTGCCTCCCACGACCCCCCAGGGTAGTCACGGTGCCGCTGCTCAGACAGCCCTTACTTCAAAGCCTTGAGGGTCGCAGCGGTTCTGGACTTGTACGTCGGTTGCTATGAGCAGAGAAGGACTAAAAAGGACGGAGATCATTATGTCAAGGTCGGCCGGCCGAGGACTACTGTTGAGATCCTACTAATAAACATCTCCAGCATCGTCAGCAGCTTTTAAATCTTTGATAACCTTCAATCCTCGAAATTCCCTCAATCATCATCATAATGGGTGTAAGGCATCAACCTTTGTTTTCCTCTTCTCCTCCCCTCACTGCCTCTGCCTCTGCCTCTGCCTCTGCCTCTGCCTCTGCCTCTGCCTCACGTTCAACATTCCTCGTCTTCTGCCTCTCTCTCACTCCTTCCCGCTCCTTCTCCTTGTCTGCATACAGCATCATGCCAACTAGAAGCACAGCCAGCCACCCTCACCTGCCGCTCTTCCTCCCATGACATTCTCCTGCGTCGGCCTGGATCTCCTCCTCTTCTGCAGCATTTGCTGTAAAGGACATCAGTGGCTAGTCTGCCTGCTCCTCTCCTATCACCTCATAATGCGGGATCTCCTTCAGAATGTACTCAAAGTCCCTGCTCAAGCTCACTGTCAGGGAATCGTGAGTCGGAGGGCAAACCAGAGCACCAGTGCTTTCCCCTGTGCCCCGAACGGAGAGCCTTCTCGTATCCCTTGTCTATGGGGCACGAGCGACTGGCTTTGAAGGCCTGGGCGACAAAAGCCATGGGAACAACCTCAACGGAAAGTGAGCAAGAAACAGAGATGCGGAAAGAGGAGGTAGGTAAGAAGACAGAGATGCTGAAAGGAGCGGAGGATAGAAAGGTTGATTGAAAGGGATGCCATTTTGAGAAGAGAGACGAAGGGGCATCGGAGGTCTACCAAGGTTGGCCGGGCGCTTCTTTTGCGTAGGAGGTACCAAGTCTCGTTGTTTATCCTATAGTGCATGTAGCTGAAGAAAAACGTCAGCAGAACACCAGCACAGTCCCCGTCACCTCACCCGAACATGTCGACGAAATTGACGTCCTCTGCCTTAACTGTACAATATTCACAACATCCAGGGGAGCCACCCCCCTCCCCTGCTGCAGCAACTGCATCTTGCTCCTGGCTCCCCTGCAGGGCCTCTCCCTCCTTCTCCATAACGCGGTCCATCACTGCGTCCACGAGGGAAGAGAGGATCGCTGAGATCGCCTGCTGGTCGTCCGTCCCACCCTCCTCCCTTTCTGTCAAGCAGACACTGCATGAGCCGGATGGCTGCTGGACTCCTGCTGCATGAGCGGTGGCCTCCGAAGAGAAAGGCTGGAGGCGGAGGGAAGTCAACGAGCACGAAGAATAGAACACAAACAACGTCATCGAGGACAGGATTGATGTGAGACAAGTGAGATCGAGGAGGAGGGAGCGCGAGGACATGATATCAGCAGCACAGACCTCCGAGTTTTCTCTCTTGTGGTCTTTGCAACCTTTCTTGGACGGGTAGAGCCTGTCGAGAGAAGCCTGGAAGGACTCATGCGAGTTGAAGTGATAGTAAGTGATGAAGGATCCCCTGAGAGCAAACGAGTGTCAACAACAAGGGGAGTTGATGAGTTTCGTTATCAGAAAGGCGAAAGATAGGCGAGAGATGTTGTAAAAGCATAACAAGGATGTCAGCATCTGAGCACCATTACCGAATAGCATGAGCGGTTCTAGAGTGGCATAAGATCGGATACCATGCAACTGCAAACCTGCAAGTGAGTCAGGTAGTGGAACATACATGTTTCCTCCTCTCACCATGAGCGTTCGAGCACAAGATCGTCGTTGCTGATTTCCATCAGGATGTGCGATAGCAGCTCCTCTTCCCTCTCGCCCTCCTGCACCGATAGGGTCAGCAACGAGTCAGAACCGTGGAGCTTGCAGACGGAGACATCACCGTCTTCAAAGAAGGCAGCTCCAGCATCCCATCATACAAGGGAGGTCGTTCTCCAGGGCTTCTCTCCTCGTAGAACTACGGCCCCTCTGTCAGCTCCCGCGTGAAACGCGCATGCTCCCGCCCTCACCTCGAAGACTGCTTCGCTCTGCGTGTCGCCAGATGAGGCTGCAGAACGTGGCCGGTAAGCTTTCGTGTCTTCACCATCATACATCAGCCTACCGCCGTCACCTCCTTTCCTCGTCTGCCTTCCGTCTTTGCCTGCTCTCTTCTCCTGCTCGTCCCGCAACTCGCCTGGCGAACCTTCTGCCATTGAAAAGTGAGTCTCGACATGCCGCCTGACCTCGCAGGCCTACTTTGAACATGTCGGTCAGTGAGCGGCTGGCCGCTGTCCTGCTCCCCCTTGGAACTCTGCGTTGTGGGCCCGCTCACAGCAGAAGCATATGAGTACTTGGGACAAGACGATCCCTGTCCTCGATCGCGAGGCCGCCCGCCAGAGTTTGAGCCGTCCCCCCCTCCCTCCATCCCAGCATCCTCATACGGGTTGATGCCTCCTTGTGTCGCCATCTGGGCAGACACTCGACTAGCCCATGAGAGCGAAGCAGCTTCCTCCCTCCTCTGCTGAGCCTCCAGCGCCTGATGACCAACATCATGCGCGATCGCGGAACAGTTCCACTCTCACCAGCTTAGCAGCTTTGATCTCCTCCTCTCGTCTTTGCTTGATCTCAGCGAGCTCGACACATAGGGGATAACTCGGTGAGTCCTTGCGAACAAACAACTGCACGTAGGCGAAAAGAGTCAACAGGAGCAAAGGTGCTGGCAAGTTAAGAACAAAGGAGAAAAGAAAACACTGGAGTTAAACAAAGAAGACAGACAGCACCGACCTTGATCGCAGACAGGTGAGGCACGTAGAATGCTGGCGTGATCTCTGCAGCAACATGGTGCGTCTTCCCATACAGCAATCATTCTTGCGCAGACGACGGACAAAAACCAACCTGAGTGGTCGAACTTTTCAGGAGGATGGGAACTTCAACCCCGTAAGGCTTGTCGAACCATTCCCACAGCTGCCTCAGACTAGCACAAGGACTCAACAACAAGAATCCACAGGTTTCCTCCTCGTTGCAGACCTGAAACTTCCCTTGGGCACCTTTGGGACAACCGCCTGAAGGAAGAAATAGATGTTCTCTTCTGCAGCACCCGACTGTTTAGGATGCAATCGGCACAATCATGACAGCAGAACACCTGATGTTGGTTTCCCGTCTTTGTTGATGTATTTCTGATTTGATCGAGCATTACATCAACACCAAAAGATGAAACACCCCACCTTCCGCGATGCATTCAAACCAGAGGTTGTGGTGTCGACCGAGGTCGTGTGCGAGGTTTCAGAAATATCGTCAGGCCTGATATCTCCCGACCCCCTCACTCCCTGCGATCTCGTGTACTCTGCATTCTGGATCTGGATGAACTGGTTCAAAGACGTTGACCCGGTCGTCTTGGTGACAGCTTCCGTCTCTTCCTGCGACACCTGCTCTGCTGTACCTCTCTCTCCCTCGAATGATCGGATCTCCTTGTTCTCTGCGAGGAAGAGCTCCTCGTGCGGATCCGACTGGATCATCCGACCCCTCCAGCGCTCTCAAGCGGCCCAGCAGTCACGGAGCTCCGGGTCCCATCTACAAGCACCGTCAGGAGGGAGTATTTGTGTGATCCACGGAGCCCCAGCCATTCTTGCGCATATCGGTATCATCATGCACACACTACCTCGAATCTATCAGATTCATTCTACCTCCCTCCCTGGTCTTCTCACATACCGCTACAAACTGCATGAGTTAGCGCTCCAAAAGACTCACATTCTCCCGACTCCCTTCCAGCCAAGGAAGCCGCGTCAATCCCCGCAACTCTCACTCTTCCCTGCAGCAATCTCCCACTTTCTTCTCTTAGTCACTCAGTTTCTCCTCGCTGTCCCTTCATCTGTCCCACTTTCTTCTCTTAGTCACTCAGTTTCTCCTCGCTGTCCCTTCATCTGTCCCACTTTCTTCTCTTAGTCACTCAGTTTCTCCTCGCTGTCTCTTCATCTGTCCCACTTTCTTCTCTTAGTCACTCAGTTTCTCCTCGCTGTCTCTTCATCTGTCCTACTTTCTTCTCTTAGTCACTCAGTTTCTCCTCGCTGTCTCTTCATCTTCTCCATCGCCTGCATGCCTGGTCGCTCTCAAGGCGAGCCGATCCTTGTGCAATTTTTGCCCTGTCAGCTGCGCGGCTCTCCTTCTGCTCCTCTCGCCTTCTCCACCTCCCTGCTTCTCTGCCTCCTCCTCCTCCCTCACCGCATTCAGCTGTCCTGCTCTACTTCCATCCTCCCATCCTCCTGCTCTCCTGCCCAAGTGCTCGTCACCTCGCCTCCCCTTCGCCCTGCTCGGCAGAATCAGCCATAAAGAGCTTTGCAACCACCCCCTTCTTGGTACTGAAAAGGGGGGGTGAGGGTTACTGACATATTTGTCCCAGTGGGATAAAGAAGGGTGGTGAAAGGGGAAACGGGGGGTACATAATGGAAAGATCGCTTTTCCTGGGGGTAGGGTCAACAAAAGCTGTGAGAGAGAAATGACCCAAAATAGGGGAGAAAAGAGGAAGACAGCAAATTCTTTATAAATACATTACAGAGGTAAGTTTTGCTGCCTTTATTTGTGATATAGAAGTGGAAAGGTGAGTAAACAATTTTAGTCTAGTCCGGGAGTACCGGTGGGTAAAAATGAATAGACCGGTCCAAGAATTATTTGACCCTACGAGGGTAGGGGTAAATGGTATAGATTACCACGGGTGGTATGCTCGTTCTAGGGTTGAAGGTGGGTGGGGCAGTCTTAAATTAGGTGGGGTGGAGTGAAGGGGGGGAGGGGGGGTAGGACTCGTGCGAGCCCGCGCGGGGAGGGAGAGCGGCGCTATGTACAACGGAGTCGGTCTGTCGACGGTGCGCGGGTCGGCCACCAATGGCTACGTGCAGCGAAACTTGGCGCATGTTCAAGGGAAGACAAGGGTGGACTACCAGAAGGAGCTGGAGAAGGGGATGGCGAAGCCGTCCCTGGCCAGCAAGGAGCCAAGTTGGGAGATTCTTGAGCATCAGAGGAAGCGGCAGACGGAAGTGAAGATCATGGAGTTCAGGATCGCGCTAGAGGACAAGGGCGTGAGTGAGGACGTCATTGAAGAGAGAGTCGCTGAGGTCAGACGCAAGCTCGAATCTGAGGTGAGTGGGATGAGATTTCTGCTGCTGTGGCCAGTTGTGCCCGTTTGCAGGGATTTGACACCGCGCCATGCAGAGCATGCATGCGAACTTGGACACTGGCGCGAAGAAGTTGACAGACTCGCATGCGCTAGCTCAAGCAAAAGCGAGGGAGGCGCAGCGATTCGCGTCAGCTTTTGGGATCCGAAGGGACCACACAGAAGGAGAGGCGTTTGACAGGGAGCTGCAGGAGCAGAAGAAAGCTGAGCGACAAGCTGCGCGCGAGAAACGGTAAGTCACTTCTCGACGTGTGCAGACTAGCCTGCAGCCTGATCTCCTTGGATTGTTCAGTGACAGGGAGAGGGAGGAGGATGAGAAGAGAAGGGAGAAAGCAAAGAAAGCCGCAGAGAAGAGGAGGAAACGGCAAGAGGAAGAAGATCGCGCAAGGTAACCAAGCATGTCGCTTATGAGACCTGATCCCGAGGCCAGGCCGGAGGGCAGAGATCGAGAGAAGGACAGGAGCCGTGAGAGGAGAGACTCGAACCCCGATAGGAAGCGATACAGGTCGAGGTCGAGGTCGCCTCGTGAACGGTAAGGATGCTTTCTCCTTGGCCGCTGTGCGTTGATCCTCCTCCCCTCAGCTCCCCGTATCGCCGACGATCTCGCAGCCCTCCGCGCCGCAGGTCGAGATCTCCTCCTCGAGGTTGTAGCTTGCTTCTTTCCATGTTGTAGAGAGGGTGATCTGTGTGCAGAGCGACGCGAGCCAGACCGAGAGGAGAGGAGGGACAGGAGAGGTGAAAGAGATGATCAGAGGAGAAGGCGCTCTCGCTCCAGGTGATAGAATACGAAACTTATAGATCGTAGTCGTGAGCTCGAACGCTGCAGGAGCGCGTCGTCGTCGTCGTCGTCATCATCATCATCATCATCGAGCTCTTCCTCGGTAAATCTTGTCCCTGACCCTCCAACGCTGCTGCCCTGCATGTAGAGAAATCTTGATCATTGACACTTTGCCGCAGTCGTCAGCTTCAAACTAGAGTGCGACTGTGACTCCTGCATGCCCTGTTCGCCCCGTCGTGATAGGCGAGATGCTATCTACGAAGGGGGGGCGAGAAAGGAAAATGCGCGATTTTTGGCAAGGAAAATGAAATCTCGAGGCTCACTGTGACGAAGAAATCGATTCTGTCTTGTGCTTGCCTGTAGTGTACATGAGTTTAAGATTAAACAACTCGAGATGGTTCGCTACTGGACACTACACCAGGGTTTCTGCGCAGGTTCGCTCTCCTGATGCATGCGTTAGGAGGACAAGTTACACACTGGGACAGAGAAAAAGGTCTGTCTCCGTCCCACCTGCAGTCTCCTGACTTCTTCTACCAGTGCCGGCAGTGTCTCGGTCGCTCTCCCCTGCTTTCATGTCAACCGCTCTGACGACCAGGGGGGGACGTACTTGCAGGAACACGTCCGCGCTCTCCTTGCCTGAATCGTCCAAGTTGCAAACTATGAGCTGGGCAACGTCTGTCTCAGTAGATGCAGGTTAAGATCAAGTTTCTGACTACCTTGCCGAATCTCGTGTGAATCATTCCTGGAACTAGATTCGCCGGGGCAACCTCCACCTTGCGTCAGCGCTCCACCAAGCAGCACCGAACACTTCCGGACAACACAGGAAACAAGATGAGAGCGAGAGCGAGAGGTACAGGGAGGGGGAGGGGGAGGGGCAGAGATAGAGGCAGAACAAGAGGAAGAGGTAGAGAAAGGGCATCTACTTTCAACTACCTGCAAGGAAGTTCCCACGACGATGCACACGGAGGAGGCAAGAACCGCCTGCGTTGCTCTGCTCCAAAACATCACAACCTGTGGAGGAAACTGCAAAGATTTGATAAGTTTGACAGTACTTGAACATAGCCCCGGCCGGCAGAGCTTCACCGAAGAACGTAACGTCAGCCTAGGACGAGGTCAGAGCGCGACCTCTAGACAGGACGAGGCCCTACCTTGAGGACACCGCCGCAGTTCTTGCAGACGGGAACGAAGTCGTCTTCACTGATCGGTCGAAACTTCTTGTCGTCGGGTTGTGCGATCCATTGCGATATCACTTCAGATTGCTCATACTGTCACCCGTCGGGACTTTCAGAAAAAGAGATAGAGAAAAAAGAACAACAAGGGAGCAAGCAGGTACGAGAAGAGCGATCAATTAGCAGGGTGGAGGGGAACGAGGAGATGAAATGAGATCATGAGCAAGACAACGAAAGCGCAAAGTGCATCAGTCAAACCTGCGTCAAACAGGACATGCATGTCGAGGTCTGGTCAGTACCATGAAGCTCGATGACCTTGTTACTTCCAGCTGCCTGCGCACTTCAAAGCTCATGGAAGTACTGGAGGCAACCTTGTTTCACCTTGTGCAGCCCGTCTATGTTCTGCGTGATCACTGTAACTTTCTTCCCCATGTTCTGTAGCTCCGCCAGCGCCTGCAAACCTTCCTTTCAGCACCAGCGCGAGTGAGATGCTGGGACAGGCCACACCATGTGCGCAGCGTTAGGCTGTGCCTTTATCAATTTCCCCTCCTTCAACGCTTCCTCCTTCGTCCCTCCGTTCTGCACATGAATATCGAGCACAAGCTCCCTCGCCATCCGCCAGAACAGCTCCTGCCACGTACCAACTGTGAGTGATCCTGCTGTAAACAATCCTCCCAGCTACTCTCCCATCCCCGCTCACGCACAGGGTTGCTCTTGAAGACATCGTAGTTGCAGTACGTGAAGGGATCATACTTGCTCCACAGGCCTCCTGCTCTAGTGTGAAGGAGGAAGGAAAGGCGGACACGAGACACGTGTCACGAGGAGAGCCCACGGCATTGTACAAGGGTCGAGAATGTCAGGACAAAGATAAAGAGGAGGAGGATGGAAGCAGCGACTGATACAAGGAGCAGGGTAGAAGAGGCAGGAGCAGGGGAAGGAGAAGGAGAGGAAGGATCAGGAGATGCAGGAGCAGGGGGAGGAGAGGGAGAGGAAGGAGCAGGAACAGGAGCAGGAGCAGGAGAGGCAGGAGCACGAAGGGAAGAGGAAGGGGAAGGAGGAGGAGAGGCAGGAGCAGGAGCAGGAGGAAGGGGAGGGGGGGGGAGGGACCTGGAGAGCGAAAGTCTGGTATGCCTGACTCTACGCTGATCCCTGCTCCGGTGAAGACGCTTACCCGCGTCGCGCCATGGACAAGACCAGCTGCCCTTGCTAGCGCCATGCCGACAACAGAGCAAACTCCGGTCTACCAACATACGTGGTCTATCTCCGAAGTGTCGCTCGACGAAGACTCAACCAAACTTGACTGTCACAAAGCTCCTCGTCCTCGTTCTCCTCCTCGTCCTCGTCCTCGTCCTCTTCTCTCCTCGTCCTCGTCCTCGTCCTCTTCTCTCCTCGTCCTCGTCCTCGTCCTCTTCTCTCCTCGTCCTCGTCCTCGTCCTCGTCCTCGTCTGCTCCTGCTCTCCTTCCTCCTCAATCTGCATTCTATTCCCTCTGCCTGTTTCCCTCGGTTGTTTTAATTATCAATATCGGGCCTGTTTTCTTTTCAAGCGACGATAAGGTCATAAGAATCTTCAAGTTATTCTGTGAATCACTAAATTACATTCCTAACATCAAGCACTTTCACCATTCCAACTCCCGCTCCTCCTCCCATCGTCCTACTCCTCCTCCTCCTCCTCTCCCTCCTCCTTCCCTCAAACCAGCAGGTCAAGAATCTCCCGCAGAGATCGCAGAACCTCAGCGGCTGAAGGACGTCGCTCATACTCCTGCTCCCAGCACGCCGACATGAGCTGGGCATACTCCTCGTTCCTCCTCGCCGGAGGGTCCACGATCTCGGGAACATCGAGTCTAGAGCCGGAGATCACAGCGTTGGCGATTTCACGAACCTGAGAGAGAAAGAAAGTTAGGGGCGGACGAGGAAGGATACGCGAGAGAGCAGATGATGATGATGATGATGATGAGGAGGAGGAGGAGGAGGAGGAGGAGGTGGAGGAGGAGGAGGAGGAGGAGAGGAGATGGGGAGAAGGAAGGAGGGGGAGGGGGGCGGGGGAGCATACATTCTTCTTATGATAGGGAGTCTTCTGCGTCCAGAGCTCCCACAGGACAACCCCCATGGCAAAGACGTCTGTCGCCTCATGGCGGAAGCCGCGCGTCATGAGCTCAGGAGCCATCCAATGCACCGTTCCCGGCTGGAAAGAGGACTTCGCCTCCTCCTCCTTCGCCTCCTCCTCCTTCTCGCGCGCGAGGCCGAAGTCTCCGAGCTTCAGCCGCATGGCCTCCGACACCAGAAGGTTGGGCGACTTGATGTCGAGGTGGAGGACAGCAGGGCGCAGCGAGTGGAGGAAGGAGACGGCGTCGCTCAGGTCGATACCCATCTGTATGCGCGTCCGCCATGGGATGGCAGAGCGCCGGAGCACCTTGTGCAGGTTCCCGCCCGCCACGAGCTCCATCACGAGCGCGAAGTGTCCTGGCTCGATGCAGACGCCAAGGAGGGAGCAGACGCAGGGGTGCAAGCTCCTCCTCATCAGCCTTGCCTCCTCGCAGAACTGACTGAACTCCGCGCTCGTCAGGTTCTGATTCGTCAGCTTCTTCACCGCCACTTCCTCCTCCTCCTCCTCCGCTGCCTCCGTCCTCCTCCTTCTCATCTTCCCCCGATTCACCACAGCGAAGTTCCCGCGGTCCAGCTGCCCTTGCAGCACGATGTCCTGCTTGCTGATCTTCCAGCCTTCCTTGTCCCTTCCCAGCGCATTCATCATCATCTCCTCCGCTACGGACGCGATCTCATGTGGAGCAGAGACAGGAGGGAGCGGTTTCAGCAGGCTCCTCTTCTTGGCCGGAGTCGCTTTCCCTGCTTGCGCACCTGCCGGGTGCTCCTGCTCCTGCTGTACCTCCTGCTCGACTCGCTTCTCTCCCTCGTCCTCGACTAGCAGGGATCTGTTGAAGTTCTCCTCCTTCAATTCTCTCTCATCCTCCTCCTCTGATCCTCCTCCTCCTCCTCCTCCTCCTCTGTCGAATTCCTCCAGCATTACTGTGCGGCTATTGAGCTCCTCCCCACTGGCGTCTCTCTCCCGCAAGCCAGTCCCGCTCCTCCTAACTTGCCTCCCTCGCTCTATGGCCTGGATCCTCGTCGCTGCACGCTCCTTCACGTACTGCTCCTCCACCTCCCTTGCCCTCTCTTCCTCCGCTAGCAGCTGAATTGTTCCCCCCTCTTCCAGGGCATCCCTATCGGACCCCCGATCTCCTCGTCCTCAACCTCCCTCGTTCTCTCAAGGTCTTCCTGGTCCTGGTTCCCTTCCTCCCCTTCTCCTCTGTCCTCCTCCTCTTGTTTCAGAGCCCCAGTCCTCTCCTCCGCCTCAGCTGACCGCTTCCTCCTTCCTGCCAGCCTCTTCCTCGTCTGCATTCCCCGCACCCCCGCCTGGATCTTCACGGCCGATTTCTCCTCCGCGTATATCACTGCCTCCTCGTACTCCAGCTTCGATCTCATGGTCAACTGCAGCCCGGTCGGCGACTCCTCCTCCTCCTTTCGCTCCTGCTCCCGTCTCTTCTCCATCTCGAGCAACTCTCTCTTTGCCGCCTCTTGCCGCTCCTCCTGCTCCAGTTGCCGCTTCCTCTCCTCCTCCTCCCTCCTCGCCGCCGCCTTCCTTGCCTCCTCCTCCTTCCTCCTCTCCTGCTCCAAGCGCTCTTTCTTTGCAGCCTTCTCTCGCTCCTCCTGCTCCAGATGTCGCTTCCTCTCCTCCTCTCTCCTCTCCTCCTCTCTCCTCTCCTCCTCTCTCCTCTCCTCCTCCCTCCTCTCCTCCTCCGTCCTCTTCTCTTCCTCCATTGCCTTCCTCTCCTCCTCCTTCTTCCTCCTCTCCTGCTCCAAGAGCTCTTTCTTTGCAGCCTCCCTTTCCCGTTCCAGTTCTTCCCTCCTTGCCGCCGCCTCCCTTTTCTCTCTCTCCAGCTCCTGTCGCCTCAACATCTCTCTCTCTCTCTCCTCTCGCTCAGACTGCAGCTTTCTTGCCGCCTCCTCTTTTCTCTTCTCCTGCTCAATCTTCTCCTTCCTTGCCGCGGCTTCCTTCTCCTTCTCCTCTCGCATCAGGAGCTCTTTCCTCTCCTTCTCCTCGGCCTCCTGTGACTTCCGTTTCTGCTGTTCCTTCCTTGCCTTTCTCTCCTCCTGCTGTAGCTGCAGCTTCCTCGCCTCCTCCTCCTTCTCCCGCTGCACCCTCTCCTCCTCCTCCTTCTCCTTCTCCAGCTGCAGCCTGAACTTGACTGCTTCTGTCCTCCGCGCGTGAGCCTGTAGCTTCACGCAGGCGAGCTCGTGACGCTCATCGTAGTCGAGGAGCACCAGAGCTCGTTGAACCTGCGGAGAAGGTAAGAGGCTCCACCTAAAAGTCTCCTCCTTCCTCTCACTATCTACTCCCCTCTCCCTCCCTCCCTCCCTCCCTCCCTCCTCCCTCCGTTCTGCCTAGCTGCTCCTCCTCCTCTCCCTCCTCCCTTTTCTCCCTCTCCCCTCTTTTCTCTCTCTCCTCTCTGTCCTCTTACATCGAACACGTTGATCTTCTGGGCGACGTGCAGATCAACGACGTCCATGATGTACTTGACAACTGGGGCAGCTGAGGAAATAAAAATCGTAAGAGGAGTCAAAACCCAGACGTAGATTTGAACTTAGGAAGACGTGATTTCATCGTGTTAGTGGAAAACAATGACAAACTCCGACAAAAGTCAATAGAAAAACGAACACGTCAAATTCAATCTTGCATCGACAACATCACACCAGCGCATAAACAAAGATGTCAAACTCCCACTTACAAGGCACGAAGCTGCAGCTCTGCAGCGCAAGAGAGACAAAGGAGCGATCCAGCAGCTCGACATGCTCCTCGTAGCTCGTTCCCTCCTCCCCTCCCCTCGTCTGCAGCTGATAAGGAAACCGGAACGTCCATTGGAACTTTTTGAAGTCCGAGCCGAGCAAGCGAGAAAGAGTGGCAATGGCCGATGCGACAGATACCTTCTCCTCCTCCTCGTCTTCCTCCTCCGCCTCCTGTTCTCCGTCTTCCTTTCCCACACGCCTCTTCCCCTTCCTCCTATCGACCAGCAGATCACTCCCCTGCGTAATCAGCTCCTTCCTCCTCTCACTGAACTTGCGTGCGGCTTCCTCTTGCGCAAGGACCGCTCGTCTCATCCTCTCCATCTCCACAATCCCCTGGGCCTCTTCCTCCCTCTCCTTCTGCCTCTCCTCCTCGATCCTCCTCCTCCTCTTCTCTTCCTCTGCTATCAGGTCAAGTGCCTCCTGCAACAGCCTCTCCTCCTCCTGCTTCTGTGCCGATGCCTGCAAAGGAGGCGTCAGAGGGCAAGAAGGATGGGTGGAGGACAAGGGGAGACGAGGGGATGTGGCGACAATATTGATAACTGAGCACAGGATGACAAGCACGGGGTAAGAAGGAGAAGGAGGAGAAGGAAGAGAAGGAGGAAAAGAAGGAGGAGGAGGAGGAGGAGGAGGAGGAGGAGGAGGAGGGAGGGATCGATTGGAGGCAAATAGGACTAGGGAGAGCATGGAATGAGGAGTAAGAAGAACAATCATAGCAGCCCTCACCATCGCATGTCGGAGCATACTTTCCTTCTTGATCGCATACAGCTTTGCCTCTCTCTCCCTCCTCCTCCTCTTCTCTTCCTCCTCAACTGCTGACAACTCCCGCAACCTCTTCTCCAGCAGGTCCCTTCTCAAGTCCAGCAGACGCGCTTCATCTGCGTCCCCGTCTTCCGCCTCATCCGGCCCCTTCCTTCTTCCATCCTCCCCGTCTCTTCCTGCTCCTTGTTTGAGGAAGCTGGTGATGACATGAAGGTCTGTGGTGAGCTTGTCTTCTGCAACGCCCTCCTTCTTCTCGAACATCGTCACATCAATCCCGATCCTCTTCATCATCTCCAGAGTCTTTCCTTCCTCCTCCTCCACCTCCCCTTCACCAGAGCATGCCTTCAGCCTCTCCACCACGGGCCTGAGCATGGCATTCACATCCTCCGCGGTCTTCAGCCGTTTCACTTTCTTCTCCTCCTTGTCCTGCTTTTCCCTGACTGGCTCCTTCTGAACGATCCTCCTCCTCCCCACCTGATCGACTAGGGCAGGAGCTTGCAACTCAAGGAGGTCAGAGAACTGCAACACGTCGAACTTCGACTCATCATGCTCTCTGTCATTGGGCCTGTCGGGCTTCCTCGTCCTCTTCTCCAGCCTCAGCTTGGCAGATCTCATGGATTCTTGATGACTTCGAAGGATTTCAGTGATGTCATTCACTATCTTCCTCCTCCCTATGTGCTGAGTTTCGTCCTTTGACATGTAGTCGAGCCTTACCCTCTTCTCCCTCATTACCTTGCTGGAAAAGAAAGACATGTGAGTACCTAGACCACTCTCTCAGACATCTCCATCATCATCGTTGTCATCATCATCACCACCACCATCACCACCACCACCCTTGTTCCATCTCCACGACATCGATTCATCGAAAAGAATCAAGGCCACCTTCTTGAATCCAAGTTGATCAGGCCGGCTCGTAAAACTTTCTGCGCTTCCTCCATCTCCTTCTCGGATCCTTGCAGAGCCTTCAGACAGACAGTCAGCACCTCCTCCTCCTTCCTCCTCTCGCCTCCTCCTGGTCTTCCCGCCTCCACCACCTCGCACTCCATCTTCCTCACGCTTCCCACTTGTCATCTCGCCACCTACAGCCTCCTCCTCCCGCAATCTACTCTCTCTCACATTCTTGAGTGCTGCTGTGAGGATGTTGGAGGAGGTGAAGCCGACTTCGAACAGCATGGCGTCCGGCATGCCTTCTAGCAGCTTAGGGTACGCTGCTCTCTCCCTCGTCCTATCTCCGTCTCCTCCCATATCTGCCTCCTCAATCAAGTACGGCCCTGCCTTCCCCAGCAAGCGAGGAGGTGGGTCAAGGTCTGTCTCCTGGATGAAAGATGACGAAATATTCCCTCTTCCTCCTCCTCCTCCTCCTCCTCCTGTGACAAATGAAGCTATCTTGATCTTTTGCGGCTCCTGTTTCTGCAGCAACATGTCCGACCTTGGCAAAAGCAAGAAGGGTCACATTAAGAACAACTATCCTGATCGTATGTACCTCTTGCTATCGTTCTTGCCTCCTTGTTCCTCTTGCTCCTTGTTTTCTGCCCTCAAGACGCCTCCGTTGCTCTCCTCCTTGTCCTCTTCCTCCTCCTTACCTGCGATTCCCTTCCCTCCTCTCCTCTGCAAGTTCATGAAGGCCTTGTTGGCTCGCTTCACCCTCTCCAGGTACACAAACTCTCCAAGGTTGACAACTTTTCCATCCTCCCACCTCCCTCCCACCTCGATGCCATCCACAAACGTCCACTTTCCCTCCCCGTGCAACTTATGCTCCTTCCATCCCCCGACGAACTTGAGTCCGTGAGAGTTCACCATCGTTCCCTGAGCCTCAGTCAGACCACTGCTGCCGCCGCCATGCAAATTATTATCCCCATCATCATCCCCATCATCATCCCCATCATCATCCCCATCATCATCCCCATCATCATCATCATCATCATCATCATCATCATCATCATCATCATCATCATCATCATCATCATCATCATCATCATCATCATCATCATCCTACACCTACTCCAACACATCCTCGGTCCAGCACCCCTCATCCCCTCTCCTCATATCACACCACTTCAGCATCCTACTTGCCCGCATCAATCCTCTCCTCCCTCCCTTCCCTCCCTCCAGTCCTCTTCCTCTCCACTCTCCTCCTTACCTGTCCATCCATCTTTCCGTCCTTCCATTCTCCGTCGTACCAGCTGCCGTCTGCCCAGGTCATTTTCCCTCTTCCGTGCTCTTTCCCCGACCTCCACTCTCCATCGTATTTCCTCATCTCCCCCCATTTCTTCACGCCCTTCCCATGAGCTTTGCCGTTCCTGAACCCTCCAACGTATCGTTCTCCTGATCCTCCTGTCATGGTGCCATGCCCGTCCGCCAGTCCCTAAGAAAGTTAAAGTTAGAAGGTTAACGTTACATCCTCTTCATCCTCCCTCCCTCCCTCCCTCCCTCCCTCCTATCTTAAACCTCCAAGCTCATCTCACTCCTTCCTCCTCCTCCTCTCTCACCTTATGGAAGGAACCTTCATAGATCTCCCCGTTCCCGAACCTGAGCTCTCCCCAACCATGCATCTCTCCTCCTACGAAGGCTCCGTTGTAAATATCTCCGCTCCTCTTGCTGCTCAACACGCCCCATCCGTGCGCGACGCTCCTCTCGACCTGCCCGACGTACTTGTCCCCGTTGGTCCACAGAAAGACCCCTTTCCCTTTCTCCTCGTCCCCAGTGTATAGCCCTTCACGAGCTGAACCCAGCGGGTTCTTCCATCGCATCCTCTTGTTGAAGACGGTCGACCTCTTTTTCTCTTGCTCCTCCTCTCCCACCTCGGAATCAGCCGTGGACACTTCTGTCCCACCTCCCTCCGAAGACCCACTCCTGTTCCCTTTTGTCTGCATCCGTTTCATCCTCCTCTTTACCCCGCCCTCCTTCCCCTTCTCCTCCCCTTCCTTCCCATCCGCTTGCACCTCTTCCAGGTACAGGGACTCACTGAAGACTACTCCAACCTTCTGGATCGCAACAGGAGCATCCTCCTCGCTCCTCCCGATCTCTCCCCTGAGCCCAAAGAATCGCATCCCCGGGGGGATCGGGATACTGAACGACTTGTCCTCGTTCCCCGACAGCTCGCCGTAAGCGAACAGGCGCATACTTGTCTTGAAGTAGATGTAGCTCAACCCCGTCCTGTTGAACACTCCTGCTATCTCAGTGATCCTGTTCCCGGAGGCTAGGAGGAAGGTACTCGACAGCAAGTCGTCTTGCTGCAGGTGCGGGCCACATCGCCTCTTCCCCTTGGGTGAGAGATACTCCACAGAAACATCAACGATGAGGTTGTTCTTTGAGTAGACAGT